TTTTTTTTTTTTTTTTGAGACGGAGTTTCACTCATGTTACCCAGGCTGGAGTGCAATGGCGCGATCTCGGCTCATCGCAACCTCCGCCTCCTGGGTTCAGGCAATTCTCTTGCCTCAGCCTCCTGAGTAGCTGGGATTACAGGCACACACCACCATGCCCAGCTAATTTTTTGTATTTTTAGTAGAGACGGGGTTTCACCATGTTGACCAGGATGGTCTCGATCTCTTGATCTCGTGATCCACCCGCCTTGGCCTCCCAAAGTGCTGGGATTACAGGCTTGAGCCACCGCGCCTGGCCAGACCATAAGCACTTTTACATGGCTTATTTCACTTGAATCTTCACAACAACCCTACAAAGGGGTGTTATTCCTTGAACAGATAAGGAGTCTGGGGTGCAGAGAGGGTAAACAGCTTGCCTGGGTCATGTAGTGAGCAAGTGGCTAGCCCCCTGGAACTTCACCCACTGGTTCTTGCTCTGCCCTCTGGGTTTCACTGAACTGAGGCCCTTTTTCCATCTAAAGGGCAGTTTTCACCTGAGGCTTGGCAGATGATGAGCTGATGCAGTATGGAGCTGAGACCTAACTCTGTGTTGTACCCCTATTTCTGGGGCAGTGTCCGGCAGATCAGAAGCTCTAGATGCTTGACAAAACCTGGAAGGTTGATGAGTGAGTGGTGAAGGGCACTGGTCTGGGAGTCAGGAGGCCACGCTCTACTGCAGCCCACCGTGGGTGATGCTGCACAGTCCCCTTCCCTGCACCTCTGTCTCTTTACCGGTAAAATCAGTGGACTTGACTGAAGGATCCCTGAGTCATTTCTTGCCTGGCCTTTTGCAACTGCATCCCTGCCCTGCTTTCAGTTGTGACAGGGTTAAAACATCTCCCAATAGAAAAACCACAGTCCTCAGACCTGTGAAGGGCCAAGGAGACACTGCTGAGGGGGAGGAAAGGGATGGAGCCCGGAGCCGCACTTGGCTCTGAGCATGAGTTGTCATTCCGAGGCAGCCGCAGGCCTCATGACTCCCTGTCGATGTCTAAGACCCCTGAGAATCAGATGGGGCCTGTCAGGACATGGGGCTTATGGCCAAGGTGTCCCCTGCAGGCTGCACCTTACAGTACACGGTCACAGGTGGCCAGACATCTCCCTTCATAAATTTAAGGGCCAGGCAGCCACCAGACATACATTGTGGACACAGATTCCAAAAGAGTGGCTCAATTCCCACCCCTCCAACCACAGGGAGGCAGAGGTGGTGATCCAGAACTGCCCCCCATACCTCCACCATCAGTCCTGGGCAGCTTCTGCACTCAGCAACTGAGAGTCAAGGCCCCTGTCATCCTCCCAAGGAGCAGCCTGGAAAACTGTATGCCCCCAGCCTGTGCCCCACCCTCCATGAGCCTGAAACCCACACTGGTGGATCTGATGCGGGTTGGGGGGGTACCAAACATGGCTGCAACTGAATGAAATCACACTTCTGGGTCTCACCCAGACCTACAGAAGCCTCTACAGATGGGCCCAGGACTTTGCATGTTTAACAATGTCCCCAGGTCAGTCCCAATACCAGCAACTCCATGATGGGCATGTGACACCAGAGTCAGGCATTGGAGGCAGAGGTGTGGTTACTGTAAGGTCCCAGCCGGTATAGGAACTACAGCTCAGAGCTAGCATGGCCCTTGGTATGCAGAGGCTATGGGTGGTGCGAGATGCATGAGGGGTCAGAGATGAGAAGAAGACAGCAGAGTGAGAGAGAGAACAGGCAATTTTCAGGCAGGGAAGAGGGCCCATGAGAGCAGTAAGCCCCGGTGAGAAGACAACACTCAGGTGTCAACAGGCACGCCTCCCTGGAATCTGAGAAGAGAACACAAAAGGCTCCCGGAGCCCAGGTCCTGTCGTACCTGCTGCCTCCAGGCTTGGCCTAGACACTATCCTCCAACTACCCCCAATTCCCTAGGCAATCAGATAGAGGAGGGGGGACGCTTTGGTACAGGTGACCTAGCCCTTTGCCTGATCAGAGTTGCCAGGCCAGCTTCTGGCCTGACCTGAGGGGTGCTCGCCTCTTGGCTGAACTGGCATGAACTGATGGACACCTCTGTTGATGGCAGGTCCATGGGGCCAGGGCCAGGCTGCACGCCACATGGTGGACTGGGCTTCTCTCAATGAAAGCGAGGCCCAAGGAGAGGGAAAGAGGAGAAGTAAAGTGACACCTACCTGAGCTGCTAGCGCTCTCAGAAGCACTCCTGGACATCTTGGGCTGGCCATGTTTTCCACTGGCCCGCCCAGACCCTGGTGGTGGGGGGCCTGAAGGAGCAGGGGTGCCGTCTCCCCTGATGGTGGTGAGGTCCTGCATGCTGAAGCTCCGTAGTCTCTCCGATAAGGCACCTTGTCCCTGGATACAACACAGGAGGGGCACACATCAGAGTTCCTGCTCCACAGGTCAGACTCAAAGGCCAAGAGAGAGCTCTGATGGTCAGCAAGGCAGAGATCAAGACCTAGATCAACTCTGCAAAGGGGCAGGTGCCCAGGCATAGCTGCTGGAAACACAGAGAGGGTCAAACCCCAGAATTTTCCAGGGCCTCCTCTGGGGCTCAGCAATCGCTCCTTTGGCTCCAGGCTCCCTCCTTGCCCTCAGATACTCCTAAGGTGATCCAGAGCCTCAGACAGACTCAGGGTCAAGGGCGCGACTACTGCCTGCAGCTCCTACTCCCTCCAGGCCATCTGCTCTTTCTCTTGCTGTGCATAAATAAAAATCCACATGTATCTGTGTTTTTCTCAGTACGTGAGAATCTGGTCAGGAAATTAAAAGCTAATATTCTGTGTGCTTAGTTATTATTTTCAGAGGACACAAAATGCAGACAATATTTTTTAAACATTTGACAACAGAAATTTCTTTTATCTGTATAGCATATTATGTCTACAAGGCACACTTACTTCCACTGATGCATTTCAGCTTCATAAAATACCCAAAAGTAATGAATCAGGAAGGAAAAATATGATATTAAAAAACCCTTGCTGACTATAACCATTTCATATTCTGAGGGAGACAGAGAATTAATCTCAGGGGGGAACTGTTCTTTTGTTTAGGAAAGCAAGATCAATGCATTTTACTTACGAAAGAGCAGCTCCTCCCTGTCTGGATGAGAATGTGTCAGTGAAAATGATCACAGTGAAGGCTCAGGGATGGTGGCATTGCTTTAAGTGTGCCTCAGGGGCTGCAGGGAGAGGCTAAGGAAACCTGAGAGTGGGAGGAGACTGGGGCAATTGAGAACTGGGCTAGGATTTGGAGCAAGAAGTGACAGGCAAGTAACAACGAATGAACTCAAGCATCTTTGTGATATTGTGCTGGCCTAGAGCCAGAACCGGAGCAAAACTATTTTATAAAATGCAAAACTGTTTTTAGATAAGTTGAAATGGCTGCCCCATTCTCCTCACAATAACTACTGTCCTTGGCCTCTGTAAATAGAACTGCCAGTTTGTTCCTCAAAACTATGTAAAGCTGCTTACCTTTTCTTATCAGTAACTGCTAAAATCTGTGACTTCTATCACCACCCAGACGATGTGTAAACAAATGTATATCCTGACTTCTGTAAACCACTGAAGTAACAAACAGAATGACAAAAGTCCCCTGGCCCTTGGAATGTCCGGAGACCCCCGCCCTTGTCTCCACCCAGGAGGTGAATCACAGAATCCCCTAGCCCTTGAAATGTCTGAAGCCTTTTCATCCCCATCCCCACCCCTCACCCCCACTCCCAAGGTGGTTTTTCGGGTATAAAAAATCGTGGCACCCTCCTTTTGCCACCACAGGTTGGAGAGACGTGAATCCTCTGTGGTCGCCGGCATAATAAATGATCCTGCAATCTGGCATACTTTTGTCTCGTGATAACTTTCTACACTCCGGTCAAATACAACATCTTCAGAAAGAAGGAAGCCTGGAGGGTGTGCAGGCTTCCCTTGGGTGCACGGCACTGCAGTGGCATGGGAGAGGTATTCTATGCCATTTGGATAATGAAGGAAAGAGTGGTCTCAGAGATCTGGGGGACTTGGGGACAATATTGCACAACAGACATAACAGAATCAACAAATCAGCACAAAATCAATTCAAGTCGCTGACAAGAGGACTGTTGGTGAGATTGATGAAACAAGCAGGGGCCAAAACAGTTGAGTAAGGGGTTTTCAGAGGTGAGAGAAAGGTTTGGAAGATTTTTTCGTTTTACTTAATAAAAAAATAATAAAAATGAACCAACAAAGCACAGCAATTCACTGAAGTGAAAGATCCAGATAGGATCAAGGAGCAAATGCAAAATGAGTTCATTAAAGGGGAGGGGGAAACAAAAAGGGCTTGCAGGCAGGTTTAGAAGAAATGCCAGAAGAGGCCAGGTCTGGTGGCTCATGACTGTAATCCTAGTACTTTGGGAGGCTGAGGCAGGAGGATTGCTTGAGGCTAGGAGTTCAAGACCAGCATGGGCAACATAGTGAGACCCTGTATATACAAAAAAAATATTTTAAACTAGCTGGGCATGGTGTATATGCTTGTAGTTCCAGCTACTCGGAACGCTGAGGTGGGAGGACTGCCTGAGCCCAAGAGGTAGAAGCTGTAATGAGCCCTGATCACACCACTCCACTCTGGTCTGAGTGACAAAGTGAGACTCTGTCTCAAAAAAAATAAAAAGAAACAAAGAAATGCCAGACTAAAACCAAGATGCATTAAAATTTGAAATAGAGCTGTTCCCAACCTACCAAAGATACAAAAAATCATGTCACCAGGAAACTAACAACGAAAACCCAAAGAAAACTATTTAAATAATCAAACAAATACAATTAGAATTGTAAATACAGGCCAAGAAGGATATCATGTGAAAAAAGACAGAAATCACCCTGGTTGCCTCTGACACTGCTCTAGAATGGTGGTTGGCAAGGGTCCAAGGCCTCATGTCCTTGACAAGAATAGCTGGGTGGTCTTTGCCCACAAAATGACGGCTGGACCAGCCGGCCACCCATTATATAACCCCTTCAAATATAACAGCCAATGATCCATGATTATTTCACTCATAAGCATTCTAGGTGGCATCTAGAATTTAGAAGAAATTTGGTGACTAAGGAACAAAACTTGATTCTGAAATGAGAAAATATTCTGCTAATTATAAGTGAGTAACTCAATGTTAGGCTAGTGTTCAAGCAAATCATTCACTGACCCACTCTTTCATTCATCCTCTCATTTCTTCATTTATTTTACTTGTTCAACAATTATCAGGTACATTTTATGGGCAAGACACGGTGCTAGGTGTTAATAGGAAACACCACCAGTACAGCTTAATTTCTGAGAAAGTGTAAAAAGACAAATGTACAGATACAACACAGAGGTGCCCTACCAGAACCTACAGAAAGTAAAGACTGAGAACAGTAGTTCCCCAGTCAGGCCTGGATTCAAATTCCAGCCCTGTCATTTAACAGCTGAGTGATCCTCACCTCTCTCCGCCTCAGTGCCCTCATTTGCAGAAAAGCATCCACATGGCTGGCTGCTGGTGCGGATTCAACGAGATTACGTCCTTAAGATACCCATCACATAGCCCAATGCATGTTCAGTGTTCAAAAATGTCAACTTTGATGATAATGATGTTGATGCTGTGGCTACTGCCTAAGACACAAGGTTGCTATTGAAAGCAGAGGTGGAGCTGGGTGCAGTGGCTCACACCTGTAATCCTAGCACTTTGGGAGGCTGAGGCAGGCAGATCACGAGGTCAAGAGATCGAGACCATCGTGGCCAACATGGTGAAACCTCGTCTCTAACAAAAATACAAAAAAAATTAGCCGGGTGTGGTGGCACGCGCCTGTGGTCCCAGCTACTCGGGAGGTTGAGGTGGAAGAATCGCTTGAACCCAGGAGGCAGAGGTTGCAGTGAGCTGAGATTGCGCCACTGCACTCCAGCCTGGCAACAGAGCAAGACTCCGTCTCAAAAAAAAAAAAAAAAAAAAAAAAAAGAGAAAGCAGAGGTGGAAAAGATCACTTTGGTCAAAAGGACCAGGAGGGGCTTCATGACCCCAAGCAAAAATAAACAGCCAGGGACAAATTTCCTCACCACAGTCCGCCGGTTCTTGTACATTGTTGTTCAGCAACATATGTGAGAGAAAGCAGCAGCAGGCATCGTACACGTTCATTTTAGCAAAGTGCTCCATTCCAGTCCCAGAAGCCAACCAGTCTAGCTCCAATATCACTGGCAGTGGCAGAGGTTAGGAAAGAGAGGGAGATAATAACAGCTCAGTATCAACCTAGGCCTGTGTCAGAGGAAATTATAGTGGTGTATATACAAGTGTCTTGAAAACAAATTAGCCCTTGCCTGTCAAAACACTCTGAGATGGTTAAAATCAACATGCCTGGCCAGGCGCCATGGCTCACGCCTGTAATCCCAGCACTTTGGGAGGCTGAGGTGGGTGGATCACTTGAGGTCAGCCTGACCAATATGGTGAAACCCCGTCTCTACTAAAAATACAAAATTAGGTGTGGTGGTACACGCCTATAATCCCAGCTACTCAGGAGGCTGAGGCAGGAGAATCTCTTGAACCTAGGAGATGGAGGTTGCAGTGAGCCGAGATCACGACATTGCACTCCAGCCTGGGCAACAAGAGCAAAAACTCCGTCTCAAAAAAAAATAAAATAAAAATCAATATGCCGCTTTCATTTGTAAACCTTTCAGCCCTTAGTCTCTACACAAAATCTCATTCCTATTCACTTCCTGCAAACCCCATTCCACACTGTCAGTTCAGCTCTGCTCTGTAGAATCTTTTTATTCTAGACCATTCGCTTCTGGAAAGAAGCACGGGTTGTTTACTGGTAGTCTGCAAATGGGGTTCCCTACTTTGGGAAAATAAACTTGGATTCTCCACATTTGGGAAGGGTTAATACCATAGTCCCCATAATTCCTTGAGCCACATTATCGTATTAAAAGCTCTGAGAAGGCCCATCTGGTGGCGCATGCCTGTAATCCCAGCACTTTGGAGGCTGAGGCAGGGGGATTGCTGAAGCCCAGGAGTTCGAAACCAGCCTGGGCAACATAGATAGACCCCCCATCTCTATTTTTAAAATTTAAAAAGACATCACTAAGTAACCAGAATTATAATGACAGCACCCACCTTCTCCTAGACTTCTTGAAAATGATTTTTATCAATTCCAAGACATATTTTTCATCTCTGAAATTGGGGTGGGTCTTACAATTGCTGCTGCCCTGACATCATTGTCAATGCTTATACATAGATGTACTTGGTTGTTATTCTCCTTGGCATAACTGGACAACTGAAATCCCTGAGTGTTTAATTAACAAACCATTTAAGAACTGCTTGAGAAAGGAATATGAATCTCAGTTGTCTAACACATAACTCACTGACACCTTCTGGT